AATCCCCTAGGTGAACTGTACCCCCGTCAGCCCAGGGGGGTACAAATTTTTTCGGTGATTTATACCCCCCGGTACGAATCCCCTGGGGCATTTGTACCCTTGGGGGTGGAGGGTGGGGGGTATAAATGTCCCAGGGGATTTATACCGGGGGGTACTAATGCCCCCGGGGTTTTACACCGGGGGGTATAGGGGTATAAATCCCCTCCTACAGGTGTCGCAGTGGACGATTCGCACGACAGCCTGCATGCGACCGGCGACGCTTTGGCTCGAGAGGAGAGGAGGCAGGCGCCCCGCCCAACAGTACCGCGGCCCGCTGCGCCCCGCCACGCCACCGCCGTCTCATTCCCTCCCGGGTGCTGCTGGCTCTGCCTCTGAGGCGACCCGTTACGGCAGGAGGGAGAAAACCACACAAACCGCCCGTTGGGCAGCCAAGGCTCCCCCGTCGTCACCAACGAGCTCATCATCATCATCACCATCATATGGTCTTCGTCGTCGCCTCGCGACAATACGAATCGTGCAGCCCTCACCACCACCACCTGCACCACTGCCACCACCTGCACCACTACCACCACCACCTGCACCACTACCACCACCACCTGCACCACTACCACCACCACCTGCACTACCACCACCTTCACCAGCACCACCACCACCTGCACCTCCACCACCACCAACAACCAACAACCAACAAACAACTGAGACCGAACCAGCACCCGCTCTACGTCCGGTGAACTCGAGTATGTGGTGTATTTTCACCAGAGCAGGTCGTCTACCGTCCTTCGGAATCGGATTCTGACGGAAAGACCCCCAAATCGTTGGCAGTCTCTTCTTTCCCTCGCCGCCAGACTCCATTTCTTTCTATCCTGCTCGAGCGGCCGCGCGGCGGCGTTGGCCTTGGCCGTCCGGTGGAGCGCCGCGCCCCACCCCGCGCCGCCCGCCACAGTTCGGGGCCCAAGCGCGGCAACTTTCGTTGATAACATTCCCCCGGACGGCCGTGTGCTCCTGTTTTCCCTGCCGGTGTCCCTGGCTCCAGCCGCGCCGCGTCCGCCCCGCCCCCGGGGCCATCCGGTCAGCCAGCCAGGTCGCCGCCGACACGGTCCGCAACGCAGCGCTCAGCTCGACTCACCCCACCGGCCGAGCCCCGTAGCAGCGGTCAGCGCACCTGCTCAGAACTGTGGGACACCACCGCGATTGAAAATTGGATGAACATTAGCGCATGTGGTGATCGGTAGACCACTCCACTTTACGAAGTGGTTCACTTCCGATTTCTGAAATATTACACTAAAATTTTCCGTTATAGTAGGGCACGAGAATGTCGGTTGGATCAAGTGGCCGTGCTTTACTCGCCCAGAGTGGACTCTCCGGAGCTGCACGGTAAAAACGATGTCTCATTTTTTGAGGAAAAAGGGAAAACTTTGAGGACCTCCCATATGTGAGGAAAACTCCTCGGACCTCGCCTCAGATTTTGAGGAACCTCCTCAAAAAATGAGGAAATATTCCACAATTTTTAGGAGACTTCGTCGAAATCTGAGGAGCCTTCCTCAAACCAAGGGAGTTCCTCAAAGTTTTCCCTTTCCCCTCAAAAAATGAGACATTGTTTTTACCGTGTGTGCGTCCGTAAGGAGGCCCCTCAGACTGCAGGCGGGCGGTCCTCGGCTCCGGCGCCCTCAAGCGGCTCAAGCGCTTGGCTCGCTTGAGGCTGAGGGCCGTAATGGACCTCATTGTGAGGCGGACGGCCTGGCCCCCTGGAGTGCGAGAGAGAAGTGTCGCCAAGCGATCCCCGAGGCGATCACACGGAGAGGCGCTGCCATGGGCGCTGCTCTCCCTCCGGCGGGTCAGCTGGCCGCTGCGAGACGCTGCGAGGTGTCGCGGCGGGCGGAGGAGCGGGCGCAGTGGGCGCTCCGCGGTGTCATCACGAGCGCTATTGCAAGAAGGGGCGGGGCGGGGCGCCGGACGCGTCGTAGCGGGATGCGAACTCCGCCAGCACTCCTCCGAGGCGTTGGCGGAAGACAGAAGATGCCGGGGCGTGGCGTCGCGGGTGTGGGGGGAGGAGGTGGGGGGATAGAGTCATTTTGCCCCATGCGGGGGGAGGGGGCTGGCTTTAGTCCCGGGATGGTCGAGGTATGATGGCACCGGACCAACGGCGGTGGTGGCGGCATGGCGGCAGCACCGTGAGAGCCTGCTCCTTCTGGAGACGGGTGCGGTGCGGTGACAGCGACCCACCTCGGGCCACGAGTAGCGGCTCTGGGGACCTACTTGGACGAAATTTGTGTTTAATCTGTTTCTTTTGAATGTCGGCCTCTTGCTTGATAACGTATAGCACTTTAAAGTCATTATTGTCATGAAATTAATTTTTAAAGTTCTGCTGACGACCTCTCTGCCTGACTCTCGTTCTCCTCTGCCCCTCCCCACCTTCTCTCGCTTCTCTGGCCTTTGTCAATTTATCACACCCCTGGCCACAGAGCAGTCATTGTTTTTGCCCGCATTGTCTGGGGCAGAGGAGCCGAGCATCTCTCAAAACGCCGACCGAACCGCGAGCGGCCGAAATGAGTCATCCCTTTTCCCTTTTTTTCTTCCTTTCTTCCCATTTTCGGAGCGCGAGATGAAAGTGACAACGAAACAAGAGATTACCCCCCTGCCGCTCTGCCTCTCTATCTCTGATGGCATCATGACGGCGTCGCTTCGATTCGCGTGAAATTCGCGGGCGACGAGGAAAAAAAAAACAGAAACGGAGTCGCCTTACCTTTGCCGCAAAGCGCATCATTTTTGGCTGAGCGATAGCGAAGCCTATTACTCCACTGATGATCAAAAAGTTTCGCGTCTGTTTGTCTGTCTGTGTGTGTGTGTGTGTTTGTTTGTTTGTCTGTACGCACGATAACTCGAGAACGAATTGAGCTAGCGACCTGGGATTTTCAGGGTCGTTTTGTATCATAAAAAGACAGATCGAGTTCAAAGAAGAGCATTCTAGCTCAAAAATTGGATTTTTAAAAAATCGAAAACCACAGGTCCCCAAAATGACAATTTTTAAAAATATTTTTTTAATGTTTCCTAAGGGGTAACTCATCAAAGTAGAGCCCATTGGGCGAAAATTTCATCTGTTTGGCTCTATCTCTAACCTTTGAGGCGCTAGAGGGTGTTTTTGACGAAAATAAGCGAATAAATGTACAACCCTGCATTCTTAGTCAAAGTGACGGGCCGTTGACCGGCCGGAGGCCCGTATCTTTGTGTACACTTTTGCACTACCCGACTCGGGTCGGGTGTCAGCGCCGCAGGCCTAGGTAGATGTATGCCAGGCGCGTCGCAGCGTAACAGTGTTTCGTGAGATATCGCGAAGCCTGTTACGCGAGACGTGGTCTGGCGTACATCTACCTAGTTACTAAAGAGATTGAAAAGTCGTCTTCGTTTTTATGGGATCGAAGTTTTGTGCGTCTCTGACATTCAAACAGGTATACGATAAGAAATGAAAAAATGGAAATCATTTAACTGAGAGTACCTGTTCCCATTATCAATCGTTTATAAAATTTTGTTGTTTAAGATTTTTAATCCAACCTAATGTACAGTACACCCCTTTGCCTCAGCGATAGTACTTCGTAAAGTGATACCAGCTCGACGTTTTGTATACACCTGCCACCTCCCGCCAGCCAGGGAGGTCCAAATAATCAGGGCTGCCCTTGAGCCTTTTCGGTCGGTGGATAGCGCTAATGAGTGAAAGAGAGAGATGGAGAGAAAAAGAGTGGGGGTTGGAGAGAAAGGAGAGAGAGAGAGAGAAAGAGTGAGGGGGCGGGAGCAGTTGTAGAGTTGCGTGTCGAGTACTTTTGCTCTGATGCCGTGAAATGTTACGTCAGGGGGAACCTCAGGGTCAAAAGCAACCCCCGTGACGGGACGAGGTGCGCGACGGACCTCCGGCGCGTGTGTGGCGCTGCACTGAACTTCACGTACCGAGCGCGAGCGCAGCGCAGTTGCACCACGGGGAAAAAATAATGACACGAGTTACATTCTGCCTGGTCGTGACCTACATGAGGGGCTGATGTGGCGTTCATTACCATCCGACGTGGACCGCGGGGGGAGAAAAATATGCATTTCAGATCGCCGCTGCACTATGCGCTGGTCACGCGAGCCTCGCTGATGAAACAGGGATCTGTTACTGGCAGCACACCGCGAGACTTTTAAAAGGAATCGCGAGTAGTTCGCAGAGTTTTTTTTTCGGTGGTGTGTATTTAGATTCTAAAGGCCTCGCGTGCCTCAGTGAAATGGCACGTTTATGCCGCGCCGGCCGGCCGCCCCGCTTCTCCGTGAAAGTTATAAAAGCCGAAGCCGAATCAAAAGTGCCACTTAGGCGTCCACTGTGGAAATGGACTGGGCTTGCCATTGGGATCGGGATTGGCTCCCGGCGGCGGCGGCGGCAAGTCCATCCCACCCATCTGATGATCCCCGTAGCGGCAGTCAAGGCCATTTCGGTTCGGAAAGGGAATCAGGGCGACGGTCCGGCCATCTGCATCTGAACGGGCCATCTGGACCGGGAGGGTCCCAGCGGCCGTCGGGCCGGAACTACTGACCCTCGCGCGCACCTGCAGCACACTGTCAAAACACCCTGAAAGGCGAGGAAGTGGGAGGCAACAGAGGCCGTACTTAAGTAAACTATGCCAGTCGAAAAACAATGCAGAGTTGCGGGGGGAAGGGGGAGACTCGAATATAGAGATAAAAGAAAATACAAGAAATACACGCGAAGCGTTCACAAAAATACACAAGATGCCCCCCACCCCCGAGAAAATTCCATTCATGATTGAAATGCTTAAAGATTGCTTCACAATTTTCGAGTATTTAATTATTGAGTTACTTTCAGTCATAAACCAAAGTGTAGATTTTTTAGAATACCTTACTTGTTTATGTCAAACTTCAAATAGTTTACTTTCTCTGGGTCGAAAACAAACTGTTCCTCAACACTCCACACTGCTGCTCTACCTCGAATAACCTATTTCTTCCTCTTTTTTGTGTTGCAGTATGCCCTAAGATGGCTTGCACGCAGCGGGCCGTGGGCCGGGCCTTCCAGCCGCCCCCGGGACAGCACCTCCGCCAGGCGTCCCGCCAGCCCTCCATGGCGCCCAGCGGCTCGTGCGGCCAGGTCCTGCAGGCGCGGGTGCAGGACGTGCAGGCCCAGGACGCGCAGGCGGGACCTGTCCGCGTGCGCACCGTGCGCCTGTCCCGCCGGCCCGGGGGCGGCCCCGGGGGCGGGGGCGGCGGGGGCGGCGTCGGCCTGGGCTTCTCCGTCCGCGGAGGCCGGGAGCACGGCACGGGCTTTTTCGTCTCCGCCGTCGAGTTCGGCTCGGAAGCACACCTGCATGGTCTCAAGGTACACTGATAAACTAAGTGTTCAACTGCTCAACACTTGTAAGTGTGCAACTGCAAGTTGAATACTTGCCAGTGGGCAACTCCGTAGTCGCACACTTGCAAGTGTTCACCTCGGTAGGTGTGCACTTGCAAGTGTGCAACTCCTCGGTTGAACACTTCCTTAGATTGGACGCTTACTGTGTTCAACTTGCAGTTGCACACTTGCAAGTATTTAACTTGCGATTGCACACTTAGACGTGTTGAGCAGTTGAACACTTAGTTTATCAGTGTACGATCGAACTAACTGTTCCTTAAAGCTATTAGCGATCAAATTTAATTAATTTTATTGAAGATGCTTATTTTATTGAATGAAAATATTTAGGATGTGTGGGCAATATTTACGGTCTAATTAATTTTTGATGCGCAGGTTGGAGATCAACTCTTAAGGATAAACGGGTTCTCACTGAACCAGGCGACGCACAAGGAGGTCCTCGCACTCGTATCGAATCAGACCAACATCACGCTGAAAGTCAAAAGTGAGTATTTATCAGTCCCCGCACTGGTAACACAAGTGTGTTTAAGTTTGCACCTCGACCGACCTCAACTGATGTTTATGTTCAAGTGTGTATTTTCTAGACACCTTGTGGTGTCTAACGAGCTTATACGTCAATTGTTGACATTTTCGACACTTCCAAAAAGGATAGCAGCTGCACACCGTATGGTTCATATTGTTAGCATAGAACTGTGTGGCTCGATGATGTTTTTGTTTGCCCCTCATGTTTTGTTTCAAATTCTTGATCAAATGTCTAGTTGGCTTGAGGATGTAAATTTTCATTGATTCAACACTATTTTGGTCATTGCGACACATCTCTTTCCTCAATGTGCACGTTCACGTTCCGAACAGACGTCTGTCCGTCGATCTGCCTGCTAAACTGAATCGCTCCCCCGGGCTCCCGCGTTGTGGTGGTGTGGGGGAGGCTCTCCGAAAGAGCCTCGCAGATTAGCGCTGCTTGCTTTCTCTCCCGCAACTTCCCTCACTCCTCCTTTAATTTTTCGTGAGGACCCACATAAATCCGGGCGTCGGGGCGCCACGCGTGGAAACTGATCACGAGACGCCGCGCCGTGTTCCCAAACGCGGGGCGCGAGGCGCCTGCAGCGGCGCCGCGCCGCGTGAGAAGGAGAGGAGGGAACTCTGGAAAAGAGTCGTCTTGTTTACTTTTCCCACCTAATCGCCTTCACAGACCACAGTTAAATTTTATACATGTTTATTCAACTGTTTTGTTATTAGGAGTCGTGTCTGTGCAGTGTGCAGTGCTCTTCCGTTATAAATTTGACATTTACACAAATGACGCTTCTCGTAAAGGAGGTTCATAAGGGGCATACAGTTATTACTCCCCCATTAGCCTAAGGTTCGTGAAATTGCATTCTCCGCGCGCCTTTCGCGTGTGTCGTTAAGTGTCGGCAATTATCTTTATTTTGCAAAAGAAAGGTTTTATTTGCACTGTACACGTTTTTCTACTCTTATCTATCTTTCTTCGAATACATTTTGGCCCAGTTTCTGACTTTTTGGACTCCTTGTCAGTATTCCTGTCCTGCCTTGCCTTGTATTAATCTTTATCTGCTACACACAACCTTTTTCATAAGTAAAAGAAATTGGGCACGAAAGTGTCTGCTTCGGAAATTTCGTTCGGTAGACGGTCACCCTTCAATCCTCCCCCCTAAGGCGGAATAAAATCAGGTTCTAACACTTATGAGTCCCCTTGTTGGCATAATTACTTTTGTGCCAAGAAGAACTAGTTCTTTGACTTTAATCGTCTCCCTTCTTGTGGTTGGAGAATCAAAAACTGCATGCATCCAGTATCTGCCGTTACGAAAATTGCCTAGTTCAGCTGCGGCAAGGTCTCATAGCGCCTGATGGGCAGGCAAAATCCTGCCCGTAGTGCGTGCGTGCATTGCGGGGTGGCCTACCCCGAGTCTTGCAGGCGCCGAGCACGAATAATTTGCAAAATGATCAAATGAATCTAAGAAACGGATGTAATTTCTAGATGATCCCTAAGAAGAACAAGTACGGTTCGCAGTGATGCGTCATAAAACTCGAGGTCAAACTCTTTACTTGAGTTTCAGTGCCCCCTAACATGACTTCATGCTACCGTTCAAGCTGTTCAGAAACATGACTACTGCCTGTAGGTGTTGCGGATCCTGAGGTGAGAGTGAGCCTTAAATACACGGCTTTGATACTAGTTTTCCAAGACGAAGAAAATGTGGTGTCGGCAAAGAACGTAGTCTGGGGCGCTACTGATTACTTACTTATTCCATATCTACCACTATGTAGGTAAATTCTAGGTAAATTCCAGTAAATAGATTTGTCTCCCCGTTTTCCCCCGGTTTCCCCCAGCAGGGTCACCTTGCGCGGCCCATTTACTCTACAGACCAGTAGTGCAAGTGTAGGACCCGGCACGCTGGGCGCGTCGTGCAGGAAGAGAGTGGTGGGATTCCAGTGCGGGGTCCCGCAGTGGCGGGCCGGGCTCGCGTGTGTGTGTGTGTGTGTGTGTGTGTGTGTGTGTGTGTGTGTGTGTGTGTGTGTGTGTAGGTGTGTGGCGAGTTGCTCTCCTTTGGGTACATCCGTCTCTGTCACACTCGCCCAAGCCACCATACCCGTTTAATTCGCAGAAGCTGCGCGTGGCTACGCCGCTGCTGCCCCGCCCCCGCGCATGCGCGCACGACCCGCGAGTGGAGTGGCGAGGAGCGGGGTGTGTCTGTGTGTGTGTGTGTGTGTTTCTTTTTCCCCCGCTTTGTGAATAAAGTAAGAGGAGCAAAAGCGAGTGAACGAATTAGAAGCACACACACGTACGTGCGCGCCTGCACCGCCTATTGGCGAGAACTGCCTGTATTGTGGTGG